CTTAAGGTGGGTGTTCTCCTTTTCCCAATGACAGCAATGGAGGACTATTTAATAATATTTATTAGGAAATGTCCCAAATTCTCCTGTTAAACAGCTGGAATCTGTATGTGTCCTGTAGGACTTCCCGGCATTTAAATTGTGAACTCTTTTTTTCTCTCAAATAGAAACTCTCTATATTTAGACACACAAACCTCATGTACACCTGAGATATACCCCATTAAGATAACTGTATCATTTATTCTATGAATCTGACCTATGAATATCATCTATTACTATTTTAATGGGCGTAATCACATCTTTATGCATAATGGTCTTTACCATATGACCTTTATTCATCATGACCTGTTAACGCTCTATACCGTGTTAAATAAAATATTTAAAATGTAACTATTAACTTCAGTATTTTTTCTTTTTGTTCTAGGCGTCACTGTATGTATTTGTTTCTCTACTGTACTCCAGACAAAATATGGAATTAGTCTCTTAGAGGTACAGACAACAGACATTTGCTAACCCATCATTTCCTCTGGGCTTTTTTCTCTTTTTTTGCATGATATGCCAAGCACTGTAAAAGGAGAACTGACTGAACCTCTGACTATTTACATTATAAAAGGCATCTGGCCTAAGGCTTGGCTTGACTGGAAGTTGAGGGTTATTTCCCCCCATTTGCTTCAGATTTCAACCAAACCGATTGTTTGTGCTGTTGTTTGGATGCAAATGGGGGTCCAGCTTCATGCTGGTGACATCACCATGTAAAAACTGAAACAGCACAAATTTCAAAGGCGCTAGCCGGCACAGATGATTAAGACCAGTTTGGTTAAAATCTGAAACATATGGGGGCCAAACTTCACACAGGTTCATTGTGTTTTAAATCATTGCCAAATGGCTCACATGTTAATTAAACATATTGTAATTTGCAATTAGTTTCTTCTTTTGTCGTTAGGCTATTGCTTTAAAACAGATCTTTCCAGGTATTGCACATACTTTCAATGGTTGTCGGACTTACAGCCATTTGCAGAATAGGTTTTAGATTTTGATTGTTTATAAAGAGAAAAAAAACTTCCATGTGTTTTGAGATCATAAATGGAGAAAAAAAAAAAGTCTGTTGATATAGTTGGGTGAAATGCTTTTATGGCTGCTTTATTTCAAGTTCAAGTTTATTTATAAAGCACATTTTAAACAACTACAGTCGACCAAAGTGCAGAACAATAAGATTCATAAATCACATATATAATTGACAAAGAGATACAAATACATTAAACAAAAGCACATGGACAGTACACCAAAAACAACCACAGCTCCAACAGCAGCTAACTCTTGGGATCTATTCCCAGTCAAATAAAATGGTCTTGAAACAAACAATAGAGAAAATAGACATGACATAGAAATAAGTAATTAATAAAGTCAATTTCTAATTGGACAATTCTTAAATGGACAATAAAAAGGCTCTCAAACTGAGTTAAAAGCTAAGGAATAAACATATGTTTTGAGATGAGATTTAAAAGATGACATCACAGGAGAGTGACATAGAGGGTAAGTCATTCCACAGCTTGGGGTCAATGGCTACAAATGCCTGATTGTCTCTTTGCTTCAGTCTAGATTTTGGAACTACCAGAAGTTGGTGGTCTGCTGATCTCAGTGGTCTGCGTGGACAATAAGTTTGCGGAAGGTCAGAAATGTATGAAGGAGCTTGACCATGCAGTGATTTAAAAACAAATAAATATTTGAAACAGGCAGGCATCTGCACTGACCACATGTCTCACCTGGTTACCGAGCTTCAGTAACCCTGAGGGACAGCTGCCGTGTGGGCTGGGGTACGACTTTGAGGTTCAGCCCCAGTCGGGCAAGTTCCACAGCAAAGCTGATGCCTTCTCTCGTCACCCCTGTGAGACACGCAACTGCCATAACTGCCGCTGTGTCGAGCAGCACAGGAGAACAGCAGCGGCAAGGCATTGGCAGTCACTGACTGCCAACAGCTGCGTGTGGAACAGGCGAGGGATCCGGTGCTGGTCCGAGTGAAGGACTGGCTGCAGGCAGGGAGGTAGCCAGAGTAGAGGGAGGTCTCCATACTGGACCCGGAGACCAAGGCCCTCTATTTCCAGTCGGGGGCCTTTGCGGACTGCGATGGGCTATGGTACCAGTGCTTCTGTTGCCCGGGTAGCAAGTGACAACTGCTGCACCTGCTAGAGCCTTTAACACACGGTCTTGCGGGTGGTGCATAGCACAACAGAAGCCGTGGCAAAGATGCTTGGGAAATTGTGGAGCTGCTTTTATTGTCCTGCCTGCAGCCAGGACTCCATGCTGATGGTCCATTGGTGTGACATGTGCACTGCCCAGAAAGGACCAAACAGTTTAAATTGCACGCTCTCTGCACAGCTCGACTTCCTGATTGCCCAACACCAGCACGACTGGTACTGCCACCTGCCCCTGGTCCTCTGGGTATACAGGACCACAGTGCAAGAGAGCACTTGGTGCATATTGGCTGTGCTGAAGTTTGGGCAGGAGTTGTGCACCCCGCTGGACTTGGTGTTCGGGCTGCCCCCAGAACCACAGGTACCAAGGGAGCCGGGCACGGAGAATCTGTGGTGCCTCCAAGAGCATCTGAGGGGTGCATATGAGCTGCCTCAACAACACCAGGGTGCAGCGACCACCCGACAGAAGCACGCCTTCTAGCCACGCAGCCACGGGCAGGATTTCAACATCGTGGATCATGTTTGGGTGTCCTCTCCCATCCATAAACATGGACGGTTGCCCAAGCTGGACAGCCATTGGAGGGCACCGGAGGAGATCCTCGAGCCCCTCTCCGATGAGGTTTACCACATGCGGCTGCCCAAGCCACGTAAGACTGTGGTCCTGCACAGGGATCGCCCAGCACCGTATCACCTCCTGGCAAGAACTAACTCCCCTGCAGCAGCTGAGGACGAGGATGTGGCAGAGGGTGCAAGTATGCTGGGGACTCAGCGCTGGGGACTCCGGCATGCTGACCGCAGCAGCAGCGCTGGCCCCTGCAGTATTTGCAGGATTTTCTGGTGGACTTGGGAGTCTCTAGGGATAGCTGACTCTTTTGGTTGGCAGCAATGTTAACAGCTGAACTTTATTTGGGGTTAATAAGAGTCACTCTAATTGATGGCAGGTGTTGTTGTGGTTTTTTTCCTTCCCCGTCTGATCAGAAGTCAGAAGCCGCTTGTGTAGATCCAAATTCAGTCTTTATTGCAACAATGATGTTACAACCAAGGCCGGTCACTGGCAAGGTTGTCCAATACTGTTTTACACCAATTTTATACATTTTCTTATCATTTAACAATATCTCGTCACTTAAGCATCATCATTCCTTCAACCATTCACAATCATTGCTTTCTCCCATAATCTACACCCCTAGGTGATAAGTTTGTCAATCATTTCTTTTACTGTTTGGTCCCTCGGCCGAACATCTCCACTTGGTTTTTTAAAAATGCTCAGCCGTGAACTTTTGGCAGTTGAAAACTCAGGTGAATCCCGTCCTTCAGTAGCAAACCTTGGCAGCTTCAGCCTGTTGCACATTGACTAACTAGAGGGTTAATAATATATTTGTCCTTCAACATAGTGATAAGATATCACACAAATAAAGGTGGATATTCATACATTCAGAACTAACATAAAGTAGCTAACAGAAACTTTGAGGCTAACATAAGGTTACATTATGATGATTACATTCTAATGATTACATCATGAGTATTTGGCATGTTTTTAAATAATATAATAATGATTATGTTCTACGTTGTATAGTGCCAAATAATATTCCATAGTGTGTACCTAAAAAGACTGAATGCTGTAATTAAATCAAAAGGTGCTTCAACAAAGTATTAGTTTCAGGGTGCGCACACTTACGTAACCAACTAATTGTACATATTTTATTTTTTATATCCCCCCCCCCCCCAACCGATGTTTCTTTTTAAATTGAATTGTACAGGTTATAGGTCACATTAAAGGTCGGAACGTTTTTAAATAATTTATCGTGGTATCAATTTTCTTTTTTCCATCACAATAACGTGGCATTTTAACAGGGGTGCGTACACTTTTTATATCCACTGTGTTAATTTATTCACTGAGCATGTCTCACCGCGCTGACATTTTGACTGTATTTAAATTCGCGTTCTGATATTCAGGCAGTGAAATTCAAGTTCAGGTTAACACATTTAAATTCTGGCAAATAAATTCAAATTCTTGTTGTACAAAAGACGCTATATCTTCTTGATGTACTTCAATTGACCAACTCTGAATAAATCGCATGTTTCTGGGTGGATCGTGAAACGATTCATCCTTCATTTTCCTACACATACATAGACACTAAATACATACACTACATTAATTACGTTAGTGGTCACCAACAGAAGTACCTAATCAGGGGGAGATGTGTGGGGTTTTAGTGGCAGTGACTAGAGATTATTATGGAATAATACGTCGATCGTAGCCTAAGATGTAGCTAGTATACAAGCTAGTCTCGACTACGAATGTTGGTTGTACGTATTATTATTTCACCAGCTATGCGTTCTGAACTTTCAGTCCATACTACTAATAATACAGTACTAACATTTACACCATATCTATTGGTGAGGTGTATTTGTCTGTTTACAGAATTGTTCTGAATGAAGAGGGGGGAAAGCCTAAGTATATGAATTTGTTCTGAAACACGAAATATCAAGTTTTTTTTTTATTAATTTGACAGATTCTCAGTATATTATTAGTTTCAGCTATTGCACTCATAACGACTGCAAAATATATACTCAATATAAAAGTCTGCAGGACTTGCATTTTATAACAGCATGTACTCACACTCAGTGTACGTATCACATTAATAATTAGCTACCATATGTACGCCCTAATTTTAATGAAAATATATTATTGCTAAATATAAACTCTGGTTTACTTTTTAAACATTTTCACGCAAGAGTGAGCATTTTCCGGCTGCTGTAGTGTCAGTATCGGCGGATGATGGCAGGATTAGGCGCATGAACAGCTCAGTACACAGAGACCTGAAAATATGTAGGGTAGCAGTGGGCGGAATCCGAAGTGACGTCCGCGTCCGCGAATCGGGCCACTTTGATACAGCGTTTGCAGATCGCATTGTAAAAACTGTGCAAATCCCGCACCTATGGCCACTGACAAGTCTGCTGCAGCGTGTTAGCGTGTAGGAAAAAGACCCGATGCACCTGAAAGATGTCCATTGCCCGGATAATGCTTTTGTCATTCGAGAAAGAGGACTGAAATTGCAGATTGGTGTACGATGGCAACCCTAGTATTCAGATACTGAAACGTCGGATAATAGCCTTGCTTGTTTCGCAGCTCACGCAGCTTCCTAATCTCAATATGTCAACCCAAAAGTTTAAGAAGGACAAAGAAATCATCGGGGACTACGAAACGCAAGTAAAAGGTCAGTGTTCAGCATGCTTATGCTGGTCCTTCATTTTTCGTTTATGTCGTGCTTTAGACACGAACAGATGGTTAAACCGCTCTCCAGGATGTATGTCAATATTACAATTTAGATAACTAGGATAACTTCTTACCGTACTTTTAAGGCGAGACTGCAGTGATTGGAAACCTTATTACTATGGGACTTTACTTAAGACCCAGATATCTGTAAGACGAAGGCCTGAATTAAGTTTATGGCATTTGAAATTTTCGAATATACTTCGTATTAGGTATTTATTTAGAAATTGAGTTTGGCTTAGTTAATACCCATCAGTGATTCATTCGATGCCATTACCAGGGTAGGCAAAGTGGAGACTGTTCATTGCTACTGTATGATTATTTCTGCAACGTTCTGCCTAAAGAAAATGCTAGGTTCAATTGACCTTTTATAATCAGACAGATTTTCACGTTCTTTCTCTGTCCATGCCCAGCCAGGTAATGTGTTGTGAGAAAACGGCACTGCATTGAATTGAAAACGTAGTACTGGATTAAAAATATATTGGGGTACTCAGTTGTTGTTGTTTTTTTATCTCGTGCTGTCTGCAAAATTATTTTTCATGTCCGTTTTTATGGTTTATAAAATCACATATTTAAGTTTTACTTGCAGAGGTATTGAAAGTGGATATGCATATTAACCCGCAGCATTTGCTGTCGTTGACTTATAGCTAACAGTGTTTTTTGATTTGTCACTTTTGCAAGTCACATGCTGGTTTTGCACGCACTGCTGCTCGTCTCCGCGAGGTTGGCTGCGCGTGCGGGCAGATGGGATGAAGCTCGAGGGAGAGTGAAAAAAATCGGCTGAATTGCAAAAGAAACATGAAGCGCTTCTACGTAACTGAAACTCAGAGAAACTCGAGACAGATTGAGGGCAGTATCTTACATTTTGACATACAGGCACCTGATATCCTTATTGTACGAAATCAAAAAAAAAGAAGAAAAAAATTCAGAATGCACGTTAATCACGGTTTTATATATCTTAGAACAGTTGTATATTTTAAAATACGTTATATAAAATATCCCATATATTAGTATGCACTACTACTAATAACACTACTACTACTACTACTACTACTACTACTAATAATAACTAGGCAAGCCCTGACTTGGCAGCGAAGTGAGCTCTGTTCATTTCAATGGCTAAGCGCAAATAAGTAAAGTATCGTTTACTAGGTGAAGTGTAATATGTGCCTTTTCATAGTGGCCATACCTGCTCCGGTGGTACTGTGACACACAAACATGGCCCCAGAGGATGAAGATCACTGGCGACTGGGGCTTGACTTTGACACACACTGTGTATACCACCCCAAATGTATTTCTGTATGTGAATGTTTTGAAAGTGTTCACTATATAGCTTGGTCTTCATGAACTCATGGCACTAACACCATATTATATCCTGCCTCAACGCAAACGTTGTATATTAGCCCCAGTAAGGAAGTAGACTTTACAGTTTTCGAACAACAACATAGATGCTATATACCAGGGGTGGGCAATCTATATCTGCAAAGGGCTGGTGTGTATGCAGGTTTTTGGGATAACCTAAAGCTGTTCAAACCCTGGTGTGAGGACTCCTCAGCCAATCAGTCCTCTAATTAGTAATATAATTGGGTAGTTGGAGAGAAAACACACATACACAACGGCCCATTCTGGATAAGACTCCCCCCCCCCCCTGCATTATACTATCAGAAAAAAAGGTACAGCCTTGGTACAGTTTTGTTCCCCAAGGTACAAACAACATTAATGTACCTCCAGTGGAACAAAAAATGTTCCTCAGGGTCTTTTTTTGTACCTTAAATTAGACTAAAAGGTACATTTACCTACAGCTAGGGTACAAATGACAGACCTTTGAGGGTACAGCTCCAGTGACAAGTAATTGCACAATTTTTTTCTGATCGTGTAGGTTAATTATTTTTTTACTGTAATGATGCGTAATGACCTTGAAACTCTACGCTGGATCAGTGGCGATGGATAGATGCTGTGTAATGAATTAGATTCATGTATAAAAAACTTGAAAAATGATTTGGGGTTAAAGTTGTGCAGGATTCCTGTACACTGCATACAGTGCTTGCTACATTCTGAGAAAAAAAGGGTGAAAATGTATTCCTTTGCTTGTCACTGGGGCTGTACCCTCAAGGGTCTGCCAATTGTACCCTTAGCTCTAGGTCATTGTACCTTTTAAGGTATACGGAAATTGACTCTGAGGAACATTTCCGTACCATTGATGGTACATCAATGCTGTTTGTACCTTTGGGATGTTCCTCAGATCCATTTTTGTACCTTAAAAGGTACAATTACAAAGGTAAAGCCCCAGTGACAAGCAAAGGTACACATTTTTATCTTTTTTTCTGTTAGTGTGAACTCTTCTCTCTTTCTTTCTTGCATCTGTGGCCAGCGTTCACTTCTGAGCCACAACACCATCATTGTTTCAATGAAATTGTTTACAAGGGCGCTGTGAAAAGAGGATTGCAATTATTGATTTTTAATATAAAAAAATGTTAATTTATGAAATGAACATAGCTGCCTCGGAAGTGAAAAGCACTAGGTGTACTTATTAGTAAGATGGTTAAATAGTAATATGAATATATAAATAGGAATAGGTATCTTGCTCTTTTTTAGATCCATCATAAAGTGAGGCAGAATTTCTAATTCAACAAACTTGATTTTAATATATAGATGCATTTTTTGTCGTATTTTTACTTTTATTTTTGTATTTTGTTTTCATCAGTATCTGCCAACAATGCAGAGGTCAAACGTGGGTCGGACATGGAAACCCCATAAACAAGGGACTAGAATCGAGGTTTATATCTGCACATTTGAATAAAAACCCTGATATAATCACTCTAAAAACCGTAGTTTTTTAAATTCATTAATGAGCATATAGATCTAATACATTTTTTGTTAATGAATTTATTTATTTATATTATTAAATCATCGTTAGCTTCACTTTATTTCACCGCAGCCGTATAGATGGTAAGTTGCTATGAAAGGCATGGTTAAATGGTTTATTGATGATCACTTTCTGTAGATAAGACGTTACACAATCATTTCAATAATTCACATGAATACATCACTGAAATAATGGTTACTTCATACGATGACACCGGCCTTATAGTAACCTTATGAGAACATGCATGTGACCTGTTACAAATGCATTCTTGATGGCTTCAGTTTCAAGATGTTATTTTATTATCGGATGCTGGTTTGCATTTGCTGATCACATGCCCAACAGGCACCGATAAACCTTCTCAGGGTCTCATTTTCACACCTGCATTTTATGACCATTAATTTATGTCAATGCATCAGGCAGTGTAAATGCAGGCAATGGACTGCAGGGCTTTCAGCCCTGGTATGGAATTTAATATGACTTCATCAATCAATATGTGAAGAAGAGAGTTATAGAGAACTGTATCAGAAGCACATTTCAGAAGCCCAAAAATGAACACTTATCTGTGAAAATATAAATATAGCATCATAACAATTGTAATGAGCTAAATCTCATGTTCTCTGCTGTTGAGTATGGCCATATATCTATAGCGATAAGCACCCTTAGAGCTGTAATTAATTTTTTAGCCCAGTCTGAATTTCCTGGCAAAAGTGCCGTAAACGCCATGGGCAGACTACCTTGCAGAGGCTGTTTCTGGCTTCCTCCTGATGTACACACACTCTGATGATCTTCTCAAATGAGTGAGCACGTTGGATGTGCTTCCAGCAGCATAGCCGAGTTTGGTTGAGCAGAGCTGATAGGCTGTCTTGGTTTTATAACCAGCGCTGGTGTACTGTACGTTATTGGGAAACCAGAATGTTCCCAAACCGCCGATTATGATCGACTAAGCAGCATTAGCCGTAACTCGCTCATAGCCACAATTTACCTGTGAATTTCGGTTTTGTCCATGTCAATAAATGTCTTCATTTGTTTCATTGTGTGTATCAAAATAGATGTACTGTTACAGCCCTAGTAGCCACTTTTATGCAAAGCAATGTACAGTTGAGAAAGCAGGGTCAGTCAGTCCATGAAGCAACTGGAGGTCTTGCTCAAGGGCTCAACAGTGAATTCACTCTGCCAACCACAGGGTTTGAACTGGCGACCTTCCATTCATGGGCACAGAGCCCTACCCCTGCACACCATCCCCCAAGCACGCAAAGTCCAGACTCACACAGAGTGTGGGCAGGATTCGAACCCGGGACCCAGGTCGTGTGGTGCAACAGAGACAGCAAGCCATGCCCTGAAAGACACTGTTTTCCGAAACTGTGCCGTGTTAAATGACCTCCAAATCATATGCATTACTGGAGTGATAGGATTACAACATAAACGGTCTTATAACTGTGGTCTGTTTAAAAAATCATATTCTCCGTTAAATGAATTCACAATCAAGTCAGTAAGTGTTCCCACATGGACTGCTGTACAAGTCAAAAGATATTTTTAAGGATTATGTCACACTCTATGCTGTCTGTTTTTTAATCTCTTTAAGCCAGTCAGTCGTGTATCCTGGCCATATGGCATCTTCTGCATGCTGGAGTCGTTTGGTGACTAGCTTGTTTTATTACATTTGTCCATTAGTTGTCTTTCATGCCCTGTTGTGATTGCTAGAGGGACAGCAGGTTGCCCGTCTCTTTGGCTGAGCTTCATACTTTTTGAGGGTAGTAACAGCAATACGCCCTGAGCTTCCTTTTCACACCAGACTCTCAAGGCGTCCTTATGTTTTAAATCACACTTCGTAGCTTAAAAGGCCCTTCCTGTGAGATATGGGTGGGTGTTCAGTCTCAGATAGCGTACAATTTTTACTTTCACTTTTGAATGTTCCAGCATACTGTTTAATAATGTGTTCAGTTCAGGCTTTATAACATAAGCAGTAATGCTGCTTTACAGTGTTTCATGTAGTGAGTCTGACAATAATGTATAAAATGGATAATACTGTGGGTTTAGTTAGTCTGAATTGGTCTAGTAAAGTATCCTGTTGTTGAAAT